GAATTTGTCCGCGACCACTCTGCCAACAAACATGTCGACCAAAGTCGGGCAACGTCGCTGTACTTCACCCAACGTCGCTGGCGACACCTGTCGCAGGACATTTGTACCCTAGTAGCCAAAGCCGAAGATATTGGCTTTATACACCATAATAAAATTACACACCAAAATATTAGTATAAGTATTTATACTACATTTCTTTAATTGTTCCTCAGTTACGAACAGAGGAACAAAGTGTACCGAAAACAATTGGGTAGTTTCCAGGGTATCAAAATTAAAAATCTAATTAGTCCGTCAGTTAGATAATGAAAAAATATTAGACACGTATATTTTTATTTTCTCGTATTACGTTGCAACACTTAGATAAAATGGCGCTAAGTTTAGGAGTGGGAGGTCGTTACGTCATAACGTGCTACAAAATGTGGCACGCTGTGACGTCACACGATATTTCAAATTAATATATCGTCGGAAGTATTTCATTTTGTGAGAAACGAAAAAATACGTGTCTAAAGTTTTAAATTAATGTACCAGACGGACATTAAAATAAAATTTAGGATACTACCCTATTGTTAAAGACCCGATTAAGTATACATTCAATTATTCTGAGTTAGGGAATGCAAATCTCGCGAGACTGGGGCACAAACGAGACCTCGCGGGATTAGAAATATAATCTTGGGAGATCTCGAAATTGACTATAATAATATGTTTTTTAGCAAATAAACATAATATTTTAATAAATTAGAAAAACAATTGTATTATTCATAAGTTAAACATTTATTTGTAACGACTTTTTTTTGTGGATAATCAGAATAAAATAATGCTGCCTAAAGTTACGCAGACGAAGATGGGGGCTGTAACTAGTTTTTTAATGAATTTTTTTGTCTTAAAATCGGAACCGAATAATTATGCCTAAAGTTACGCGGACGAAGTTGGGGGCAAGCCCGCCACAACCTCCCAAAACCAAATAATAACAGACAAATAATTAGCAATAAATTAAAATTGCGACTATAATTTGAGATTTAAACTATCCTATCTCTCAAGTTGGATCGAACTACACATGGTGTGCGAATTTTATTATAATCGGTTAAGTGGTTTAGGAGTCCATTGAGGACAAACATTGTGACGCGAGATTTATATATATTAAGATAAGTTGGGGGCCTTAACTAGTTATTTTAAAACGATAAACTATCAAACACCAAGCGGTCACCGGTGACCGCAACCTATTGTTTTATAATTGGGTCTATAATAACTGTACTCGACGAGTTAATCGCTAAACATGGACGAGATCTCGCGAGATCGAGAAAGAGAGAAAAACTTTATCTTAGTCTAAAAAAACAAGTAACATGTTCAGATACGTTATTCTGCAGTAGGTACTGACGGATACATGTTCGAATCCCAAGTCCTACCGGGTAACCGGGGCTCCGGCTCGATGTGCAGGAGAAGGAACGGGGTGGTTTTTAGTCAGTAAGAGTCTGACACTCCCTCCCGCCTCACCCAGGCGGGAGCAGTCATTCGATGATTTTCCCCCCTTAAAAAAAAAAGTCCTGATTGCATTCCCAACTCAGAGTACGGTGGTAGAAGACTGAGTACGTAGGTAAATGTCAAATTTTCGACTATTTACAAATATAAATTTACATGTACACGAAGTTGAATCGACATAAACTTTGCGATAATGAAGATATGATTGGTCCGTAGCCCTGAGCGTTATCGTACAGCTCGAACAATGGCGCGGCTACTAACTTATAGTTTTTGGGGACAGCGAATAACGCCCTATCTTGTAGTTGTACTAAGAATAATCGCTTATGCTCTTTTGGTTTAGTTATATGAGGCGGTATATAAGGATACTGCGGCGGCTCGAAGTTTGGTCTCCACCAGTTGCCTGGAACATAAAACAAAATAGAATAAGACGAGTGTTATTTTTATGGAATAAGCCGGCAAACTAAAGTACGCGCGACGGCGAGCATGGTGGCTCCCCGCCCGACCAGAAACAGACCCGAGCGTACGGCGCCGAGCGTGTAGCGCGACACAAAGGAAGAAGGAAAGGACATCAGAAGGTTGCGTGTTCATATCACGTCAGGGTCACCAATGTAGTGGGTAATTGCACATTAGCCACTAACCGAGTTTAGGAATCTAACTCTTATCGCTAAGCTGTTAAGGTCCACTATAGCTTGGCTGCGTAGCGGGATAGCAGGAAGAATGAAGAACGAAACTCGAAGAAATGAATAGTATTATTAGATAGAAGATGAAGAAGAAGATTAGATAGAAGCAAGCAACGTCTAAGTTTTTCTTCTTCTCCTCTTATAATATCTTCTGATTCACTTCGTTGCGGGAACCAAGACAGTTACTCATGTCCCTGGGACGCGCCGGACTTCAGTGTTCCGGTGTTTTCATGGTTGTATCTACTGCAGATCCTGGCTTACAGGAGTTGCAGCGGTTTTGGGAGGTTGTGGCGGGCTTGTCCCATTCAAAAAAAGCAACGTCTAAGCGCGTGTATACTAGTTTCGGTCGCCGATGTAAGACTGATGAAGTACCTCCGCGCGCACGCAAGTAATTGAAACATCGTATGATTTTAGACCGCGGCCCCAAGCTCATAAGCGGCCACGATTTTGCGCGCATTATAAGGCGGTGGTCCAAGTTGTAACTCGCTACAGACCCATCAGACCACCACAGATGGGGCCCAAATAGGGCCGATGCCGATTCGGAGTCGCGGAGAACCTAACGGGTAACCGGGGCTCCGGCTCGAAGTGCATGAGAAGGAATGGGGTGGTTTTTAGTCAGTAAGAGTCTGACACTCCCTCCCGCCTAACCCAGGCGGGAGCAGTCATTCGATGATTTACCCCCATAAAAAAAACGTAAAGTACGTAGGTAAAATGTCGTGGTGGCCCGGAGGTTTAAGACGCCCTCTTCTCGTGCATGAGGGTGCTAGTCCGAAACCTACCAACGGCAAGTACCAATGTAACTTTTTCCGAGTTATATGTACTTTCTAAGATTATCTAGACACCACTGACAAACGGTGAAGGAAAACATCGTGAGGAAACCTGGGCTTATAATTTCTAATTACATAACATAACATAACATCACGCCTTATTATCCCCGAAGGGGTAGGCAGAGGTGCACATTTCGGCACTTAATGCCACTGTTCAATATAACAATAAATATAAATAAATAAATAAATAAAAATAATAAATAAAAATAAAAATAAATAAATAAAAAATAAAAATAAATAAATAAACACCCACTTTTCACCTATTGCCATATACTGGGCACAATTCCAGGCTCCGTGATACTACTTAGAATTTTAAAAAAAACCGAGTTATACTTTTCACGACCCGGGAATCGAACCTGGCAGTCGCACTTGGGACCACTCGGCCAACAAGGCAGTATAATTTCTAATTATAACTTTGTAATCGCCAAGCCGCATTGAGCAAGCGTGGTGATTAATGCTCAAACCTTCTCCGTGTGAGAAGAGGCTTTGCTCAGCAGTGGGCATTTATAGGCTGTTTTTATGATGGTATTCGATTCCAAAAATATGTAAGAAGTCTGCTGTATTGTGTATAGTTATCTTACCGATGGTATCTTCAATGAGCCACTCCTGCTTGACTCCGTCCTGTCTGCCAAGCGTTTCAGTCAATAACCTTTTTAAGCCTTCAATTTCATCCTAAAAGCAAATAGAAAACATAATAAGCATTATAAGATATACTGTATTACCTAAAACATAACAACGCCTTTTATCCCTGAAGGGGTAGGCAGAGGTGCAAATAATGCCACTGTATAATGCAACACCCACTTTTCACGATTTGTGTTATTACTCCCATGTAATAGGGGGTGAGCCTATTGTCATATACCGGGCGCAATTCCAGATTCCGTGCTACTACTGAGATTTTTTAAAAACCCAGTAATAGTTTGCCCGACCCGGGGATTGAACCCGAGACCCCTTGCCTATAAGTACGTATGACTAATAATAGTTATATTTTGCTTTTTAGATTTTACTTTTTGCTTGTTTTTGGATTTAGATTTCCGAAGTCATTTTTTTTAAACGCAGTTTTTGTTTTTATAAATATGACATTGGACTCTCAAACACAGTCTAAACAAAAGACTATTAGACTACTCACCTCTCCTGGGTTGAGCTCTCCGCCGGGCAGCTTGAAGAAAGCTGTACCGAGCTGCAACAGCAGCACATGTGGCAAACCATGCTCATGTACCAGCAGTACACCTTCCACTGATCTGGAACATTACAAAAATAACATAACATTAACTCGTCGAGTATCGTCATTATAGACACAATTATAGAACAATAGGTTGCGGTCACCGGTGACCGCTTGGTGTTTGACAGTTGCCTTACAACAGCCAGGCGATTCAACAGCCAGTAGGAAGAGAAATTCATTGGATACTTCTCTTCAATGCAATATGCCACACTCAGACAATGAGTCAGCCAAGAAAGCGGCTAAATGTTTTATAAACAGATTGCTGTGTTGCGGGATATAAAATAGAGCCTTATATTATAAAAAATATTATAAAAAATTAAGCCTTACAGACAATAAGGCTACATCTATATTCTATACATATAACAAAACTGTTTTTTTTTAAAGGGGGAAAATCATTGAATGACTTCTCCCGCCTGGTTGAGGCGGGAGGGAGTGTCAGACTCTTACTGTCTAAAAACAATCCCGTTCCTACACCTGCACTTCGAGCCGGAGCCCCAGTATCCCGTTAGGTTCTCTGCGACGCATAATAAAACTGTAGATGTGTAAATTCTGTACATATTATCTATAAACTATTTTGTGCATTGTGCCAAGCACTCTCTGTTGATCCAATAATTAACCCATAAGGCGGACGGCGCGTCACGTTCCGCGTGCGCCTCAAAGAGCCATCAGACCACCACAGATGGGGCCTAACAGGGCTGAAGCCGATTCGGAGTCGCGGAGAACCTAATGGGTTACCGGGGATCCGGCTTGAAGCGCAGAAGGAATGGGGTGGATTTTAGTCAGTAAGAGTCTGACACTCCCGCCTTACCCAGGCGGGAGAATCATTCGATGATTTTCCTTAAAAAAAAACCCATGGTATCCTGGAATGTATGCGACAATAATAATAATAATATGTTTTCTATTATGTCTCATATGCCAGCAGATAAAGGGATTAATAGGAGCAGACTAGCAGGAGAAATTGTGTGGTAGTACCTAGCTTTCCCTAAACATGAAGCAAAGATACACAATTATTGGCCCGGTGACCTGTAACATAGGTTTACCAATAGGTATAGGTTTGCCATTGAATATACCTCCTTCAGGCATCAGCGATTCACAACCAAAACTTTTATTGTATTTTAGAACAAGTTCTTTCTTTAGGTATTAGGTATATTATATTAGTATTTAGGTATTAGGTAATAATAATAATAATAATAAAATGTTTATTTGGTGTAAAAAGCCAGATTACAAAATAAATCTTAATATCTAAACAAAGGCTAAAAATATGTGAAACCTGAACTAGGTCCAAGCCTGTGTTTCAGGTTAAAAATGTACTGAAATATTTAATATACAATAATATTGCTTATAAAACTAAAAATGTTATGTCTAAATTAAATTAAGCTAGTCTCTAAGTATAACAGGTGCGCGTGTACAGTTTCATAAACAAACGTAAGCAAAAATAACTAAGTCAACTATAATAAAATTATTTGCTTACTTCAAGTAATTCCTCGGTTTGATCGTATGTTAAGGTGTGTACATAATTATGTAATAGTTTTTTACAGTGAAAGTGATTGAGGCTATAAATACTTAATTCTCTATTTATTCTATTGTATAAAAATGGGCCAAGAAAGATAAAGAATCTTTTTATAAAAGCGTGTTTTGACACTGAGGTTGAAGTGCAAACCATATCATTCCGCCTTTTGTTAGTAAGATTATTAACATTGAAGCTGAGTAGTGAATGTTGTTTGAGTATTAGCTGTACTACATAGATTTGGCGAACAGTTAAAACTTTGCAGGATCTATATAGCATCGATGTAGGAAAGAGAAAGGGATGGGAAAATGCAACTTTTAGGATGGCTCTCTGAGCACGTTCTAGAGGGAGTATATTAGTTTTTGATGCGCCACCCCAAGAAGTAACACAGTACTGGATAATTGACTGACATAACGCTAGGTAGATTTGAGTGATTAGTTTAACATCTCCGATTTGTCTAATTTTTTTAAAAATGTGCATCAATTTCCTGACACGTGCAACCAAAGCGCTGATGTGTTGTTTGAAACAAAGAGTTTCATCAATTGTGATGCCTAGATATCTGATGGAAGTAGTTTTTAATATACAAGGGCAGTTGCATGTGTCCACTGGACTAATTCTACATTTATGTGCGTATAATTGGGGTGTAACAGAGGTAATTGGACTCTTGCGCATAGAAAAGTGAATAAATTTTGTCTTCTCCGCATTTAGTGTTAGTATATTAGAGCAAAGCCAACTATTAACTGAATTAAAAGCCAATTGAGCATTACAGTACAGTTCATTGTCGTTATTGGATGAAAAAATTAGGGCCGTGTCGTCAGCGTATGATATTAGTTTCCCATGATGCATCTCAATGTTACATAAATCGTTGATATAGATCAAAAATAGGGTAGGACCAAGAATACTCCCTTGAGGCACTCCAAAACCAGTATTTTTCTGGAATGGGCTTGTGACGTCATCTATTCTAACACACTGGTAACGGTCATCTAGATAATCAGCAAAGAGGTTCAGTTGTGTGCCTCTGATACCCATACATTCCATCTTCTTTAGAAGCAGTGGAATAGACACAGTATCAAAAGCTTTGGCAAGATCAATAAAAATTCCTAGAACGTGGTTGCCTTTGCCGAGTTCTTCTGATATGAAATCTGTGAGTGTATGTACTGCATCAGCTGCTGACAACTTTGCTCTAAAACCAAATTGCAGTGGTGACAAGAATTTATTCATTTCTAGGTAATTTACCAATCTGATGTTAATAATCTTCTCAAGAATTTTAGATATCGATGGCAGTAGTGAGATAGGCCTATAATTATTAACTAGATTCTTGTCACCTGATTTGAATATAGGGACAACCACTGCCCTTTTAAGACATTTTGGAAAAATGCCTTTAGAGAGACACTCTCGAAAAACATGAGTCAGAGGTGGGACAAAAATTTGCCTATATGTTTTCAAGATCCTATTGCTGATTCCATCACAACCAGTTGCACAATTATCTTTCATTCCAGTTATGATTCGTGCAATTTCCTGTTCGTCTGTATCTAATAAAACAAATGATTTTTCAGTATTTGAGTGTAGTAAAGTTGTATTAGTCCGGGTTGTAGAGTTTAGCTGCAACTGTTGAGCGAGGTTTCTACCCACATTTAAAAAGTAGTTATTTACATTGTCAGCAGACTGAAGCGAAGTAGATTCCGTTAGTAGTAAATTCGAACATGATTCTCGCTGTTTGGACGTATTTGTTACATTTTTTATGTGTTGCCAAAGTCTCTTACTATTTTTACCCGCCCGATGTAACGCGCCTTTATCGTAATCGATTTTAATCTTTTTCAGCAAATTATTGCAAAAGTTCCTGTATCTTTTGTATGTTAATTGTAGATCAAAATTATCAGGAAAACGTTTTGCTCTATGATGTAGTTTGTCCCGGTGTCTTATACATCTAACAAGCCCAGGCGTAATCCATGGCTTTATGTTATAATGTCTGTTATTAGTTTTTATAACTGTGGTATTACGACGAATAGCTTGTTCAACATTATTTATTAAATACGACATCGAGACGTTGACATCAGCAGAATTATAAATCGGTGTAAAGTCGATATTGCGTAAATCATGTTCGAGTTTTTTTAGGTTTAATTGTGACCTAGTTTGGTGACGATTTTGCTTCGGAAGCGTGAAGTTAAGGATAAGCAGAACGGCATGATGATCGGTTAATGTAGAGTTAGTAACAAGGCTAATATAGTTTGAGTTGGTTTTAACCATCATGTGATCCAGACAGGAACCACTTTGATGTGTTGCCAATTTATGAGCAGCGAGGAGTCCATGAAATGCACATAAATTAAGGTAATCCTGTATTCCTGCATCAGAATTCTCAGAGTTGATATTAATGTTTATGTCACCTGTTAGTACAATATTTCTAAAGGAGGTTAGTGTTTCACATGTCTGGTTTAAGGAATTGAGAAAGGAATCTAAATTTCTAGTGGAAGGTGGCCTGTAAACAGCTATTATTGCTGTAATTGTATCTACCTAGTAGTAGTATAGTTAGTATAGTTAGTATAGTATATAGTTAGTATAGTAGGTAGTTTTAGGTATTGTATTATTGTACTTCCAGCTCATCATTAAAATGGCGAAACAGAAAATTAAGCTAATAACACTAATTACTAATTATTTAATGAGAATTTAAAATACCACATGCATCGTAATTCTATTTGCTTAACATAACATGCCATTTTTATCTTTTATGTATTATATGTAGTCTGTAAGTTTCATTGATTGTTTAATTTGTTTTTTGTTTTTCTTCTATTTTGGTTTTCTTTTATTGTGCATCTACCACCCATTCCCAGATTCTTTTCAAAAAATCCATCCAAAGGTTGTCTGGAAGAAATCGCCGCGTGTTATAAGACCGCCCATTGTACTCAAATTACTATTGAAATGCTTACAATTTTTTTCTGTGTGTGCAATAAAGTATAAATAAATAAATAAATAACATGTTAACCCTAATAACATTAATTAATAATTTATCTAATGAGAATTTAAAATACCACATGCATCGTAATTCTATTTGCTTGTATAGGTAAACTGGATGTACTTGATAAGGAAGTTTCCGATCTGTTAATTTTTTGTATTTAAACTGACAAACACCAAGCGGTCACCGGTGACCGCAACCTATTGTTCTATAATTGTGTCTACAAAACCAGTACTCAACGAGTTAATGGGCCGATGTTTGCCACTTTCTCGCCTGGTGGTAAACGATGGTGCAGCCTACAATGTAGCACATCTGCCCATAAGCAACTTATTCACTCGTGCCTTGAAAACACCCATACCTACCCTTCAGAAATCACAGACTATGGCAAAGAATTGCACTCCTTAGCAGTACACTGAACGATTTGCAATGAATAAAAAAACTATCTTAAACACATAACAAGCTACAAACGCCAGTTAACGTGTTATTTTCACAAACTACTTATCAAAAAACTAACCTCCTCATGCCGATCTTGGAGAACTCTTCACGCATCCTCTGGAACCTGGCGGGAACTGATGCATCCTTCTCAAACAACGGCTCCTTCGTCCCAAATGTGTAATTAGTCAGTGGATATAAATTTATTGTCCTGTTTAGTGTCATACTTGAAGCAGGGCCCTGACTGTTCTGGTGCTGCATACCGGGTCTTGCAGGCCAATTTTTATTACCAGGAGCACCTTGCACTGCTGCCATTTCAATAAAACGTAACTTAAATAAAACTTTTCAAGTATTTTTGGCGAAATTGTCTAGAAGTGAAGACGTTTTGGCGCTATTGAAAATATTATTACACTGAGACTACAACGCCAAACAAGCGTCAGCCATTAAATGAGTAGTGACGTGCCATGTTGGTCATAGATAATAAAAACCGTAAACACGTTTCTAAAATTAGTCGATTCGAGAATCGAGTTCGAGTATCGTGTAATTTTTTTTTCTGACGTCGATGCAATCGAAATTTTCGATGCTTTATGTAAATAGATGTTACCACACTCTACGGGTTGTGTTGACGTCAATGTCAAATTGACAATTTATGTTGTCGAATTTGTTGGTGTCAAATGGTGTCGCGATTATTTTGATTACTGTTTTTAATGTTTTATTTAAATAATTAGCTCAATAACATGTCACAACAGCTAGAATTATTAACAGAAAGCCCTTCACAATGGACAGCTGTGTCATTATTAACGCCAGAAATTCAAAAGAAGGAAATAAAACCTTTTGTTATTTGTAAGTATCATTTCGAAAAAAGTTTCAAATAAGTTTTAATGTTTCTATAATTTTATGTCGTATATTACGTTACGTATACATTGACTAAGGATACTCACAGACTAAGATGTAGCAAAGACTGCGCATAAAAATATTTTTATTTATCATTATCATAATCATACAACTAATAGACCACGCATAAAATCGCCCCCTCTGTAATTTACAATGGGTAGGAAAAAATAAGCTTTTAATTAAGTCCAGTAAAAAATCATGGTGAAGCACTAACATTCAATGTGGCAATGCTGCCCATACATACATACATAACATAACATCACACCTTATACGCCCAAAGGGTAGGCGGAGGTGCACATTACAGCACTTAATGCCACTGTACTATGTTGACACCCACTTTTCACTATTTATGTTCTAAGTCTCATGTAATAGGGGGTGAGCCTATTGCCATATACCGGGCACATTTCCAGACTCCATGCTACTACTAAGAATTTTTAAAAAAGACAAAAGAAAGTCCTATAACAGAACATTCATCTTCGCAGTGGCTCTAAAAGAGTTAGAAGGTAACCCAGACAGTAGGACCTCTAGTTTGATGAACACGGACAAGTTTGCAGCTGTGAGGGCGGTGGTGCGACACTTCTCTAGGCTGCGGTCCGCTACTAAAGAACCATGGAGTGCTGAGGATGTTCAGGTGTTCCTGGAAGGATTGAGGTCAGATTAATGTTCATGGGATATAAAGGCAGCGTGTTATGTTTGGCACTGAAGTTTAAGACTTCTGCTTCTCATGCATGAGATTGCGGGTTTGAAAACGTTTCAAATGTGATACACTCTTTTGATTATTGCTTTACTTTGTAGGTTGTAGTGGGTTCGTAACCTGGCAAGTACCAATGTGACTTTTGTGCGAGTTATATGTACCTTCTAAAATTATATAGACACCAGGGGCTTACTCTTGAATACAATTCTGATCGATTGACATTAACATTGTGAAATGTCGTACTCTCGAGTTGCAACACTAGCCCCCATTGCATCCGTATTGCGTGGATATTGAATGAACTAAATGGTATTGAGTTTGGCTTTATATTCCGTACTCTGAATGCTATTGTAACAGCTACACAATGAGGTTACATACATAACATCACGCCTTTCATCCCCGAAGTAACACCCACTTGTCACTATTTATGTTATGAGTCCCATGTAATAGGCGGTGAGTCTATTGCCATATACCGGGCACAATTCTAGACTCCGTGATACTACTTAGAATTTTTTTAAAAACCCAGTTATACTTTTCACGACCCGGGAATCGAACCTGACAGTCGCACTTGGGACCACTCGGCCAACGAGGCAGTTTATTGTGTTATATGTTATTAAAATATGTTTTTATTGTGTTATAACA